ACACATAATTTATAGCAAGTATTGATTAAAGTGTTATAATTTGCCTTTAAACAGATTTAATTGCTTAAATAAATGGCGTATGATGATATTACGCGTTAAATGCTTACCTAAGAACATGACATAATAGTACTTTTGTTTCTTTTCTTCCAGCTCTGAGAATTTAGCTAACTAGAAATAATCATTATTTGTATATATAAATAATGCAAGATTGTAATATGGAAAGTTAATGAATCTCTTTGGTTAGCTCGCTAAACAACCAATTCTGTACAAATGATCTGATCACCTAATGTTTGAAAATGGCATATGAATTAAAAATATACTGATAGGAGTTATAGTTTAAAATAGGTCTGTCTGACATGATAGGAACTCAGTGGTCGAGTGTTCCCACTTCCCGGTGAAAGACCATCAGCACTAATCTCACCATGCCCTTGGTCCCTGGTTCCACCTCTAACGGCTCAGTCTCTGTTGCGTACAACTCCCTAATCTGCACCTTTCTGCCATTACTCACAAAACCCTTCCAAGTGTGCCTTCTGGAGCTTGGGTTATCACCCTACTCCTCAAACTCTTCTCAAATATTTCCCTCACTTTGTTCTAACTGAAACCATCTCTCCCCTGAGTACACCTCATCACCCGGAGCCTTGTCAAAGGTGGCTGTTCTCTCTCCTGCATCCTTAATCCCCTTTGTACCATACAGCTTAGAGGAAAAGTAGATTCCCCTTGCATTGACTGCCACTGCAGATCGTTGTGCCGCCATCCTTCCTAACCACCACCCCTCGAAAGTTTGAAGTTCTGTGTTCAAACTATACCTCCTTCATTTGTAGACATCTACAGACTCCCAAGTCATTTCTCTTTATTTCTTGCAAAGGTTAGCTCCTGACCTACCGCCACTGTCTCCAAGTTTACTCCTGCCAAAACTCTTGATAATTTTAATGTCACATAATGATCCAGTAATGAGCTTTCAGCTCGTTGACCCTTTGTCTTCCAATAAGTATGACCCCCATTCTATTTTATCTCAAACTCCCATGGCCATGCCCTAGAATTTGTCTTCATCAATAATGCAGTCATTCCAAAATATTAACTTCAAGCTCCACACTTTGTCTTCCTAATCCATGCCACTAGTGCTCTTCTTTTAACACTTTTTCAACCCCCTCGAAGCCCTTCATTCATTTATTTTATCATCTTTTCACTATTCCTCATTCCCTCAGGCTCATCTCATTTTTTTTTAATTTTGTTTTAATGTTTATTCATTTTTTGATAGAGAGAGACAGAACCTGAGTGCGGGAGGGGCAGAGAGAGAAGGAGACACAGAATCCGAAGCAGGCTCCAGGCTCTGAACCGACAGCACAGAGCCTGACGTGGGGCTCGAACTCACAGACCGTGGGATTGTGACCTGAGCTGAAGTCAGACGCTCAACCGACTGAGCCACCCAGGCACCTCTGTTTACCCAG